CCCCCCTTGAGAAAAACACAAAAAACTTCCTCTCTCGGTTTTCCTTTAACCTCATACTTTATTCCCTTCTTTGGGGTATGTGGGATTTACACAAGGGGCAGACTATTAAGACACCCTTAACACCTCAGCCTCAGACGTCTAGTTGAAGTTCCAGACGACGAAACCAGGTCGTTTGCGTACGTCCCCTCGATTGCTTTTGCAAAGCAGGGAGGTGGTCCGATCGAAACGAAGAAGCCCTCAGGGCAAACAGAAGCTAAATGTCGTGACAGGCACTTACACATGGTTTCCGGAGCTAAAAAAAATCGCCACTAGTTTTTAATCTGCAATTAGATTAGAGCTAATCGGTTCGATCGGAAGCCTAGAAAGCGATGACCGATGGGACCAAATGCAACGTTGTTTGTCCCCAAATCAGCAAATAATCAGTTAGAGAGCATTTCTTTTTCCACGTGCACGAGGCTTTGGCATTTACGACGTCTTCACTTCCTCCCCGCCGTGACTCACCTCAAGCACGTCCTGCGCCGTCTGCAGATAGTCCCGCAGCATCGCCTCCTGGATCGCCCTCCATTCCAGGCGCGGGTCCTCGAGCTGCGTGCACTCTGGAAACACACACACAGACCGTCAGGGCCTCGAGGAGACAGCCCCTCTCTCCGTCTCGCACGCACCCCCACACACGGTGACACCACCGCCACATGCGTAAAGCTACACCACAATCCCACATGATACGTTAAGAAAGGCAAAGAAAAGACAAACAGACATTTTTTGTAGATCTTTTTAGACAGACCCTTGTGCCTTTGTATGGCCGTCCGTACCCGAAGGTAAAAGTTTCTCGCGTTGATAAAGATTTCCAATTTCCAGGTGGCTGATTAAACCCGCCCACTCTTGTGGCCATACTGTGCCGCGTACGTACGTACAGGCGTGCGGGCGGGTCACATTTTCGTTCGGCGCCAGAAAGCGCCGTGGTCAGCGACGATAGGCAACACGCATGCACGGCTGCATGCGGTACACAGTATAACTAACAAAAGCGGGCTGGGTGGGTTAATCAGAACCTGGGTATTTAAAAATGCGCAAGAGCGCATCTGAAAAAAATCCGCAGCGAGGTTGGCTGCAAACATTATACCAAAAAAATACGATTCTTGAATTGAGCATACATTTTTCACGTACTTTATTTTCTAAAGCACATCAAGCTTTGTTTTGAGATAAATTTCACAAGTGTAGCAGTCGTTATAACCCTCGTTGAAGTTGATAAGTCACAAGTACAATATCAAGCGCAGTGTTTGTAGATTTCTGTTTCTTACCGCATAATTCAGAACACGAAATTAACAAGCTTGCACACCATAAATTCTGAAAATCACAATACTACATAAATATACGCCCCTTGTAAGCATTTAGTTTTTTGGAAGGGTTTACGACTGATTTATTGATAGCCGTCTCCACTAAAAGTTAGCGCATGCACGTAAATGATTTCGAGATTAAGTTGTCATAGTGTGTCAAAGGTCAGGCGGATGTCACACGAGTCCGACCAAAGGCAAAATCGAGCGAAACCCACGCTTTCCCTGACATTTTGGAGCGAGGTGTCGCGCCCTTCTGCAGGACAGGGCGGGGCAAAGGGCCCGGGGGGCCGCCCGCAGTCCCTGACCTTAGCCGGCGGCGGGGCAGAGCTGGGGCAGAGGTGTCGCAGGGCTGCCGGCGGGCGTCCGCCCCCTCCTCCACGCCAGGGTCATCCGGGGGCGCCGCGAGGGCCGTCATCGTGGACCTCAGCCAGAGGTGGAGGCTGCCCTGCGCCGTCGGGGAGGGAGCTCCTTCACGGCGGGGGACTGACATATTCCTTATACGGCAGCTTGCGCGCGCGCCACGGCGTGTCCGTCCGTCCGTCCGTCTGTCCATCCGTCCACAGCCTCATGGCATCCCAGGGTGGAATGGGGGCGCATCGACATCGGCTCCCTCCCCTCCCGCTCCACCCCGCCCGCCCCGCCCGCCCCGCGGCGCGGAGGAGGGAAGTGCCAGTGTGGCGGCGCGGGGGTGACCTACCCTTTGGCGGGGGAGGTTATACATCAGATACACGGCGAAAAATGAACTGGACGAGAGGTACGAGTGAAGAGGGGGGGAGGGGGTAATATGAAAATGGACAGGAATTCCCCCCACCCTCTCCTTCCCCCCTTCTCATACAATGCCACCGAAGCTATGCGATTATACAACTCTCCAGGCGATTTAGGAGCGTGTAGCAAGGGGCGGGCAGGAGAAGAGAAGGGGGGGGGGGGATTTGATAACCTTGAGATACCGATGCACATCACAGCAATGCCAGCGGAACGCCAAAAAGAGACCGCCCGGCACCACCGGGAAGCAAAACACTCCCGTTATCACTTTGGTGTTCGGGAGTGCGTGCCCCGGACCGGCGCCGCCGCCCTCGAGAGCGCCCTTCTTGAGGACCAGAACGGAGAGCCGGCGCCACTGCGTCCGCCTCGCCTCAATCGAGTTGACAATAGTGGTCAGGCACGAAATTCAAATACGGTATGACGTGCAGCTTAAGCCCCCCCCTCCCCCCCCCACACACACACACAATGGAGTCATGCATGAGTAGCAACACACATCAAAGCATGCAGAACACAACATACGAGCAATGGAAAACCATGTGCTATTTAAAGCTACCTCACAGGAAAATAATACCAATCACCAAATTTAGACAAACATGCAAGAGGGATTGTGAGGCCGAAGCACAAAGACGTGTTAAATGCACTCATAAGTTTTCCTGATCCACCACAAACAAGAATAACATAATCCAATGACATTAGAACTCACGATTGACATGGTTGATGTAGTACACGCCTATTTGGTTATCGTATGACTCTTCCCAGCCTAGTGGCAACTCGTTGCCTATGCAGTCTGCAAATGTCTGCGGCTTTGTTATCCTACAACAGGTACAGGAGAACACATATTTCAATGTTTTATAGCTTATGCACACCAAACCAGACTTAGAAATCTTTCCATGTGATGAAAGAAAGCTTTTACTGCTGATTTAATTTTAAACAACGTTACCACTCTTCACAGCAAAGGAAAAACAAAGAAATGGCAAATGGTATAAAAAGAAATAGTCAGTATATCTTTGAATTGGCCAAAATAATTTTCAATGCAAAGACACACGTACAAAAACAAAAAACAAAGGAAAACTGGGACTAATCAGAATTTACATATTGCAAAGTTTACATCTTAAGTTTCTGGGTAAAACAAATAAGCACAAAAGTTTCCAAATAAATAATTTATGGCTCTCTTTGGGCATTTTTATTTTTTGTTATTTTAAAATATGGGTAGTACTCTAGAAAGGGGGAAGGGACATTCCATCTACATTTTAAGAACTAGTTGAAAATCTTCTACATTAAGGACATGGCCCATAAGAATTATTTTTTTTTTTAAACCGCGAGGGCTGTATATATTTCAAACGCATAATTATCGGAGACGAAACATTTCAAACTCTACAAAAAATATAGAGACCAGATACGCACGCAACACTGTATTTGTGATAAATACACACAACAAAGTCGCGTGTTTTCGTGCAGATGGCAGCACCGTCGCCCCACAAAAACAACTCGCTAAGTCTCGTGGCAGGGGTAATTCTGGCCGGATTCGCCTCCAAAACGCGTCGAAAAATCGGCAAAAATTCGGCAATCGCCCCTATGGAGTAAGTGCGCCGGGGACAGCCGCGAGCGGGTGTCAGCCCTCTGGAATGCGGGGTCGGGGGGCGCCAGGCGCAGGCTGTGCCAGTGCTTAACGCTTACCTGTCCCTCGGGTCGATCCACGTCGTTTTCTTGCTATGGTGGTCGATGAAATACACTTTGCCGTCGTAGTCCCGGGCAAAATCCCATCCTTCAGGCAGCGGTATCTCGCCATTTCTTTTCCTTGGCATATTTCACGACGAAAATCCATTCGTTGCCGCAGCCACTCGCACACACGGCCTCACTCCTCCGCCATTTTGAAAGCTCATTACCATCGCAGCAGGGCGGGCCGAGCCGAGCCGAGCCGAGCCGAGCCGAGCCGAGCCGAGTGGTATGCCAGGGGGCACGGAGGGGGGCTCGGGGCGCGCGGGGCG